CAATAATTCACTCAGTGAAAGGCAATAAAGTAAGTTGCATAGTAATAGTAATAAATAGTTCGAGTATTAATCTGATAATTAAGTATGTATACGAGTATAGCTGTAGACATACATATACATACGTACATATATTACAGCCATTTCGTGACTATACATATATAATTTATGCATGTATGTAAGTATGCATATATGTATATCTTTTGTATATATATTATTGAAAGTAGTTTCAAGCAATTCTGGTGAGTCGTTTAGTACTTGTTCGAATTTATGTAGTTTTGAGTTACTAAATTGGTGCAGTTTATATTTGAACCGAATTAAAAGAAGTTGTTTGTATATGTGTAGAATTAGAGTAAAAGAAAAATGACGCTATAGCATAAAAGTCACCTGTCGATGAATTCGAATTAGATTCGCTGCCAATGCTGAAGTCATAATTTATTTTAATTTTTGTATGTGAAAGATAGCTGCTTGACTAGCGGATAATAATAACTTTGACGCAGTGCAGGACTCTGTCTGCCTAGGATCGAACATAAACACTCCCTATAAAATCAGTCTGTAGAAAAATAACTCTTGCCAATAGTTGCTATTTTGGGCTCGTCAAACAATTGATAAGCTGAGCCCTCTCTCGACGACCAAAAATCATGCTCTACAAATCTCTCATAAAGCCCGGAAACACGGACGACGAGAAGGCTTTGGAGCTTTTTAATGACATGAACTTAGTTAAACGCATAAAAATACAACGATTGCGCTGGCTTGGACATGGATTACGCATGGATTACGAAGCACCGGTGAAAAGATCCATCGACTCAGCATCCATAGGTGGACAACGAAAGCAAGGGCGGCCACGAACAGAAGAGAAGGACCATTTGCAAAGCAGAGAAGTAACTGGCGAATGTTTTTCGTCTCGGCTGAAACCGACAAACGTTGTAGGTTCAAATTTGAAGAAGAATAAGACGAAGACTACAGTCATTTTATGCTTTTAAGATCTCATTGTAAATCTGGTTGCTAGGTATTCCTATACTTCCATAATAAGGGACCTATTCCTTAACAGTTCTATCAAAAAAAAAGTGGTATTTTATCACTATTTTAAGATTTTAAATTTTGCGATCAATAATAATAATAAATTTAGTTTTATTGTATTGTTCAGAATTAAAAAATTTTAATCAAATATAAGACGCCTTCGCGTTATAAATCGCCACTGTGCAGAGGATGGGAGAAGCCTGTTCCATGAGGATAGAATTATATGGGCGCTCTTCAGAGACTAGCAAGGAGAATTACGCTGCCATCGGAGCGAAACCGGCTTCAACGTTCAGATGAGATTGTTATCGTAATTAGAGCAGATTTGAAGACACTATCTCCGACCTGCTACAGAATGCTCTGAACATAGTCGTCAATTAGTGCATTAACAACGGGTTACACGTAAACCCCAAGAAGACCATCATAGTCATAGGTGAAAACATACACTTCTCGAAGGAGTCAAATATCTAGGAATTATTCTTGATAATAAGCTCTCGTGGAATCTGCACCTAGATAAAACTAAACAGAACTGAGGCATCCGACCTGACTGGGAAGATGGCTACATGATGTCATCTCCAAACACATAGTCACTTATACTACACCCGTCTGGCGGAAGAAGGCAAAGGTGAAGTCCACGTAGGCCAAGCTCAGCAAGCTACAACGACTAGCATGCGTGGACATAATTTGCGCGATGAGAACAGCACCTGCCTCCCCTATAGTTTGTAATCAGGAAAGATGCTCTGCGGTTTACAGAATTTTATACACCCTTCCATCCGCAGGACAAGAAGATGGGATGCGCATAAGCTATGCATAAAGTGGGCTAACCAAAAACGACGGTTTCGTTGTTTGCTTAAAAATTACTTGCTGATAATGACCTCAGTATTGCCACGTATAATACCTTCTCTTTTACACTTCCATTTTTCTTATTAGTTTACTTTGGTGCCATTTATGCCACAATATATAAAATATAAAAGGCAAGACTATTGTAAGATCTTTTTGTACAGCTACCAAAGAGTGGGTTCTGAAAGTCTTTATCTGGAATATATTTTTTACTTAATATCTGCAAACTAAAAGTTTCTCCATATCAGACGTTTTTAGAGAACTATTTCAGTATTCGAAGCACGTTTTGTTTGGAACGCTATTTTGCTCAACNAAAACAAGTCTAAAATTAAATAAAGAGAAAGAAGAAATAAATGGAATTGAAAAAAAGCTACTCATTTATTGAATGTATGTACGTATGCATGTATAGTGATTCACATAAAGAGTGCGCCAAGTTGAGAACGTACAGCATTAAAGGCTAGAAGTGCATCAAATCAAAAAAATATATATATTTACTATTGAATAGAAATCATTTAAAACTCA